TGGGCTCCTGGCAATATGGTTCGCACTGCATCTATGGTTGGTTGGCTAGATGAGATGATTTCACACTTTAATGGGTTTAGGGTGAGTCCTAACTCCTCTCCCTTAGATTTCACCAGCTGTAGATCTTCTAGCAGGGACTCCTGTGCCCCTGCCAGGGTGCCATCGTCCAGGAACCAGATGTTGAGTTCGCTGGTCAACCTGCTTGTGACCTCTTTAACAGCCATGCAAAAAAGAAAAGGGCAAGTGGGTCTCCCTGCTGGACACCTTCTGCAGAAACAACTTCATGTTCCCCAAACAGCAGCGTCGATTCCCTACTGTACCCTGCTGAGACGAAGGGGAGTAGAGAAGGAAAGCTTGTTCGAACTGCTTCCAGTACCACATCCCTTTTTACCTGGTTGAAGGCATTTTAAAGTCTAATTTAATTAATGCCTTATTTTCTGGGAGGTGCTTTATATAGGCTCGTGCTGCATGAGCTGCTGCTTCACAGCCATGGGGAACACCAAAACCTAGTTGATGGGGTCGAAGCATCGTCGCAGCGTCTATGCTAATTTTTCTGACAGCTGCCCTAGCAACAAGGCGCCGAAGTGTGTTACCCACGGCAATGGGTCTGACTCCACCATCTTTCTTCTTGAGGGCACAAAGGGATGCTCCAAAGAAAAAGGGTTTAATTGTATCTGGGATCAACCCAGAGAGGCAGTCGTTGACAAACTTCGTGATCTCTGACAATAGTGTCTCGGCAACTTCTCCGAGAACTGGGTTTACCATCTCCTTGAGGTGCTGAGGTCTTACTCCAGTGTATCCCCCTGCCGAGCCTGGTGGAAATGACATGATGGCTTTGTATACCTCTGACGCTTGGAGGAATAGAGGTCCCATGTCTGGGGCATTTGTGTCCTGAGCAGTGGGTTCCCATGGTACTCTAGAAGGGTGCTTCTCTCTCAGCGAGTTGGCGGTAGCGGTATTTCTAGGGGCGATTGTGTCTTCGCTGGTAAGTAACCTAATTGCCCCTACTGTGTTGCCCTCTTCATTTTTTTTGGTCACTTGTGTTCCAAGTTTAAAATTGTCATTGGAACTCTTGGGTCTGCCACGACGGTTTTTGCGTTGAGGAGGGATGGGGATCAAGTTGTCAGCTCTGGGGAAATTATTTATTGCCCTAGTGACTGATGAGGCTAGCGACTTACCTCCTCTTGCAGGTACGCCTAAGCAAATATTGCCAAACAGGAGCAAATTATGCCATGCTTTGATGGTGGCTGCAGCATTAAGATTTTCAGACCGTTCATTTACTTTCCTTAAAAGGTCTGTATATTTCCCTGCTGCAAATGGGCGCGCTGCTTTAGGAATGTGGGGAAGAGTTCTGGTGGTGGATGCTTTGATGGCCCCCAGGAGGTCATCTGATGACATGAAGTTTGCTGGGATGTGTGGGGGTGCCGGGAGGACCTGTGAGCCTTCTCTCTCTACAGGTACCGTCAATGAACCCTCACAGTTGTTGTGTTGACGTAGGGTTCCATCGTTTCTAAGGCTGTGAGATTCGTCACACACCCGACATGTTCCTCTGGGTCTGGGTCCTCTGGTTGCACGTCTGGGTGCACTGTTCCCAAGACCCTGTTCTTGGCTGAGGGGTTCCTGGTTAGTTGGTGGAGTCCCCTCCATCCCCCGGGCGGCCGGCGTGGGAGGGATGACAGGGGTGGTGGCGGCAGGGGTGGACACGGGTGGTGGCAGGAGGGGTGGCTAGCTGTCCCTCACACTCACCACTCGTATGAGTACTTGTGTCTCCCTCCCTTTTGGGAGGAACCTGAATGCCTGCTGTGACCTGTGCCATATCTGGGAGCATGGAGGGTAGCACATCCCTGCAACAAGCACAGTGAGGGCGGTGAATAGGTGGGTGGGAGACACCCAGGCGCAGGGTGGGCTGGGTGGTGGGATGGCAGGAGGTACTGTGGTGCGGCGAGGCCGGCGGGCGGGGAGGTGGTGGGGGTTGACCGGGCCTCGCTCAGCTTGAGGGGGGTCTGGGTGACACTTAAACACTTGTATAATTTTCTTGTATATCACTGCACAATGGTGAATGAATCATACACTTGTAATCCGACACACTGTGAGCTCTATTAGCTCTGACCATGATTGCTGATCTTTATTTTCATTTTTCTTTCCCAAACGTATTTCTATAAACACTGGGTGGCACATGAGTGACCCCCCCCCCTCGCCCGACCAAACAACAACACCCCCTCCTCCCCCACACCTTAGCCGTGGGAGGCCTAGAGGGTATATATATATATATTATAATTTTTAATATATATATATATATATATATATATATATATATATATATATATATATATATATATATATATATATATATATATATATATATATATATATATATATATATATATTATATATATATATATATATATATATATATATATGTCGTACCTAGAAGCCAGAACTCACTTTTGGCCAACTATTCAAGGCCCGATTTGCCTAATAAGCCAAGTTTTCCTGAATTAATATATTTTCTCTAATTTTTTTCTTATGAAATGATAAAGCTACCCATTTCATTACGTATGAGGTCAATTTTTTTTTATTGGAATTAAAATTAACGTAGATATATGACCGAACCTAACCAACCCTACCTAACCTAACCTAACCTATCTTTATAGGTTATGTTTGGTTAGGTAGCCGAAAAAGTTAGGTTAGGTTAGGTTAGGTAGGTTAGGTAGTCGAAAAACAATTAATTCATGAAAACTTGGCTTATTAGGCAAATCGGCCTTGAATAGTAGGCTGAGAAGTGAGTTCTGGCTACTAGGTACGACATATATATATATATATGTGTGTGTATATATATGTCGTACCTAGTAGCCAGAACGCACTTCTCAGCCTACTATGCAAGGCCCGATTTGCCTAATAAGCCAAGTTTTCCTGAATTAATATACTTTCTCTAATTTTTGTCTATTGAAATGATAAATCTACCCATTTCATTATGTATGAGGTCAATTTTTTTTTACTGGAGTTAAAATTAACGTAGATATATGACCGAACCTAACCAACCCTACCTAACCTAACCTAACCTATCTTTATAGGTTAGGTTAGGTTAGGTAGCAGAAAAAGTTAGGTTAGTTAGGTTAGGTAGGTTAGGTTGTCGAAAAACAATTAATTCATGAAAACTTGGCTTATTAGGCAAATCGGGCCTTGCATAGTAGGCTGAGAAGTGCGTTCTGGCTACTAGGTACGACATTATATATATATATATATATATATATATATATATATATATATATATATATATATATATATATATATATATATATATATATATATATATATATATATATATATATATATATATATATATATATATATATCTATAAATGGAAATGTTCGTTTGCTCAAAATCGCTAATCTCCGAAAGTTCTTCACCGATTGCATTGAAATTTTCACACAATGTTCCATTCACATCCGGCAAGGTTTTTATATACATACTATATAGATGTCACGTCTGTGACGGTAAATAACATGCTTTTTTTGAAAAACTTTGTTTTTCATGTGAGGAAAATCTTTGAAATCTCTTTACCGATTGCTTTGAAATTTTAACACAATGTTGCATTCGAATAGGCACGTCTTTTTATATATCTACTATATACATGCCTCACCTGTGACAGGAAAAAACATGCTGTTATTTAAAAACAGCACCATCTGTTGGATGTAAGAGCAATACACGCTGTAATCTCCGAAAGTTCTTCATCGATTGCTTTTAATTTTTTACATAACGTTGCATTCGAATAGGCGCGTCTTTTTATATACCTACTATATAGATGCCACCCTTATGACAGGTAAATAAATACGTTTTTGAAAAACAGTGCCATCTGTTGCACATTAAAAGCAACATGCATGCTATACTAAATATGTCACGAATTCCATTTCAATGTTTCCGATTGCATTGACAAATATTATTTTCATATATTTCGATTTATTATATTTTTTATTGAATTGTCTTGTGTGACATTGTGTTGGAATTGAGCTGTGATGTTTACAATACCGTTCGTTTCGTAAGTATAAGTATAGATGCTACACCTGTGACAGGTAAAACTATGCTTTTCTTGAAAAACAACGCCATCTGTTGCATGTAATAGCAACACACATGCAATACTAAATATGTTACAATTCCATTTCAATGTTTCTGATAACAATGATGAATTGAATTTTCATAGATTTTGATTTATTTTCATTTTGATTTAACTATTTGGTGTGAATTGCATTAGAATGAAGCTGTGTTGTTTACCATACCGTTCATTTCGTGTGCATAGTTTATTTTTTTATTTTTTCTTATTTTCATTTCATTTTTTAACTGATTTTCTTATATTTCACTGATGGAAACATCAGATCACTTGATGTTCCCAATTTTCTGACGGGAACATGAGACCATGTGGGAAGGCATCGGACGAGGGAGTGGGGAATGGTGGGGATGACGAGGGGACAAGGGAGGGGGGTTAATGGTGGGGAATGACGAGGGAATTTGGGATGGTGGGAACGAGGGGATGGGGGAAAGGAGAATGGTGGGGAGGACTGAGGGACAGGGAAGTTTGCTGTGGTTGGGTACTGCTAGTATATATATACATATATATATACATATATATATATATATATATATATATATATATATATATATATATATATATATATATATATATATATATATATGTCGTACCTAGTAGCCAGAATGCACTTCTTGGCCTCTTAAGCAAGACCCGATTTACCTAATAGGCCGAGTGATTATCTTTTTATTCAACAAATTGTTTCCAATTGGTTTATTTGAATTATTATTACTATATTATATTAAGAACATAAATTATTGAATTAGTTATGTTAGTTTAGGTTACGTTATGCCCTAGGTTACGTTAGGTTTGGTAGGGTAGGTTTGGTTCGGTCATATATCTACGTTAGTTTTGACTCAAATTTAAAAATATGAACTCGCATAGTGAAATGGATAGCTTAATTATTTCATAAGAAAAAATTAGAAAAATATATAAATTCAGGAAAACTTGGCTTATTAGGCAAATCGGGCCTTGCACAGTAGGCCGAGAAGTGCGTTCTGGCTACTAGGTACGACATATATGTATATATGTCGTACCTAGTAGCCAGAACGCACTTCTTGGCCTACTATGCAAGGCCCGATTTGCCTAATAAGCCAAGTTTTCATGAATTCTTTTTCGACTACCTAACCTAACTTTTTCGGCTACCTAACCTAACCTAACCTATAAAGATAGGTTAGGTAGGGTTGGTTAGGTTCGGTCATATATCTACGTTAATTTTAACTCCAATAAAAAAAAATTGACCTCATGCATAATGAAATGGGTAGCTTTATCATTTCATAAGAAAAAAATTAGAGAAAATATATTAATTCAGGAAAACTTGGCTTATTAGGCAAATCGGGCCTTGCATAGTAGTCCGAGAAGTGCGATCTGGCTACTAGGTACGACATTATATATATATATATATATATATATATATATATATATATATATATATATATATATATATATATATATATATATTAACTGAAAACTCACACCTCAGAAGTGACTCGAACCGTACTGCCAGCAGCACAATGCAACTGGTGTATACAGGACACCTTATCCATTCGACCATCACGACCGGTCAAAAGAAGGTGATAGCCAAAGCTATTTGAACCCCCACCCCCACCCCGCCAGCACTCTGATGGTAATCTTGGGCACAGTATTTTATCAAATCACCTCAGTTTTTGGGGCACACGTGAGGAACACAAATGTAAACAAGCCTGAATGGTCCCTAGGACATCAGAACCCCCCCCCCCTGCAGGGGGGTGGGTTCAAATAGCTTCGGCTATCACCTCCTTTTGACTGGTCGTGATGGTCGAGTGGATAAGGTGTCATGTACACACCCGTTGCATTGTGCTCCTGGCAGTATGGGTTTGAGTCACTTCTGGGGTCACGCACTTCTCAGCCTACTATGCAAGGCCCAATTTGCCTAATAAGCCAAGTTTTCATGAATTAATTGTTTTTCGACTGTCTAACCTACCTAACCTAACCTAACCTAACTTTTTCGGCTACCTAACCTAACCTAACCTATAGAGATAGGTTAGGTTAGGTTAGGTAGGGTTGGTTAGGTTCGGTCATATATCTTTGTTAGTTTTAACTCAATTTTAACAAAATTAACTTAAACATAATAAAAAGGATAGATTTATCATTTCATAAGAAAAAAAATTATAAAATATATAAATTCAGGAAAACTTGGCTTATTAGGCAAATCGGCACTTGCATAGTAGGCTGAGTACGACGTTCTGGCTACTAGGTACAACATATATATATATATATATATATATATATATATATATATATATATATATATATATATATATATATATATATATATATATATATATATATATATATATATATATATATATATATATATATATATATATATATATATATATATATATATATATATAATATATATATATATAAGAGAGAGAGAGAGAGAGAGAGAGAGAGAGAGAGAGAGAGAGAGAGAGAGAGAGAGAGAGAGAGAGAGAGAGAGAGATGAGACCTTACGGTATAGTATAAACTGGTAACATAAGTAAGTTAAGCAAAGGAAACTATTCTATAACCTAAAAGGATACATAAAACGGGAAAGAACCAAACGACGCAAAAATATAAAAACCGGGAAGTTAGTGGTCTCAAAACGGAAAATTGGTTTCAAGTTGCTGAGGAATAGACAATGAGAAATAAAGATGAACGTGACAAAGACAATCCAGTGGAAGCTTACAAAATAAAAAAGGATTTTCATGTTGTTGATAAAGAAAGCTGTTCAAGTGTTGTTTAAGGCGAAGAATACCTGACCCTGGTGCAGGGTTTGTAATGGTGATCACTGGTGCAGGGTTTATAATAGTAATCACTGTTCTTGGGCCATGCATTCAACAAGGTAAACACCCATTTAAGAGGCCTTCAATCACTTCTCCATTCCTGGTGTGCCACGGATGACGTCGTAATCAGCTGATTGAGTAAACATTGCCTTGGAGTTTGAGAAACGCTGTTCACCTTTCTCCTTGCACATAAGCACAGGCAGCAGACAGACAGGCATACAAACTGAAGACAGACAGGCATACACACAACAGACAGACAGGAATATAGGCAGCAGATAGGCCTACAGGAAGCAGACAGGAATGCAGAGAAGCAGAAAGATATAAGCAGGCGGGATGGCAGGCAGACAACAGGTAAAGATACAAACATACAGGCAACAGACGGGCAGAAATACAAACCATACAGGCAGAAATAAAAACATACACGCAGAAATACAAACCATACAGGCAGATATAAAAACATACAGTCAGAAATACAAACCTACAGACAGAGAAGACAAAGCAGGAGAGATAATGCTAGAGGGAAGAGAAAGTCGCGGGTCCACACTACCACACAAGAGCTACCCGAACTAATGCGAATCTCTCTTGTCTTACCGCCAGTGCCCCAGTGATCTCGCCAGCTCCGTAACCTGTCATCAAGGATACACAAGTTATAATTTATACCAGTTACCGCTACAAGTTATAATTTATAAGAGTTACCGCTACAAGTTATAATTTATAAGAGTTTTCGCTACAAGTCGCACTTTTGAGCCAGCGTACAACATAGACAAGGCCATAACTAGGGCGCATAACGCTACACAGTATTCTACACAACTGTATTCACTACTTTTATGTACAAATATTTGACCTTGTGTGATTCACCTCTTAAGTAAACCTATACATATTAGCGGCATTTATATATATTTTTTTAAATTGCATGTTTGAGGATAAGACTTTGTCAAAATGCCAAACATTGGCAAAATTGTCAAACTTGTCTGCAATTTTTTTATAATTATATATATATATATATATATATATATATATATATATATATATATATATATATATATAATATGCGAACAAGCCTGAATGGTCCCCAGGACTATATGCAACTGAAAACTCACACCTTAGAAGTGACTCGAACCCATACTGTCAGGAGCAACGCAACTGGTATGTACAGGACGCCTTAATCCGCTTGACCATCACGACCGGACATAAGAAAGTGATACCCAAAGCTATTTGAACCACTTCCTTGCCGGCACTCGGATGGTAATCTTGGGCATAGCATTTTATCAAATCACCTCATTCTTTAGGGCACACGTGAGGAACACAAATGCGAACACGTCTGAATGGTCCTCAGGACTATATGCAACTGAAAACTCACACCCCAGAAGTAACTCGAACCCATACTGTCAGGAGCAACGCAACTGGTATGTACAGGACACCTTAATCCGCTTGACCATCACGACCGGACATAAGAAAGTGATACCCGAAGCTATTTGAACCACTTCCTTGCCGGCACTCAGATGGTAATCTTGGGCATAGCATTTTATCAAATCACCTCAATCTTTAGGGCACACGTGAGGAACACAAATGCGAACAAGTCTGAATGGTCCCCAGGACAATATGCAACTGAAAACTCACACCCCAGAAGTGACTCGAACCCATACTGCCAGGTTCAAATAGCTTCGGCTATCACTTCCTTATGTCTGGTCGTGATGGTCAAGCGAATTAAGGCGTCCTGTACATACCAGTTGCGATGCTCCTGGCAGTATGGGTTCGAGTCACTTCTGGGGTGTAAGTTTTCAGTTGCATATAGTCCTGAGGACCATTCAGACGTGTTCGCATTTGTGTTCCTCACGTGTGCCCTAAAGAATGAGGTGATTTGATAAAATGCTATGCCCAAGATTACCATCCGAGTGCCGGCGAGGAAGTGGTTCAAATAGCTTCGGCTATCACTTTCTTATGTCCGGTCGTGATGGTCAAGCGGATTAAGGCGTCTTGTACATACCAGTTGCGTTGCTCCTGACAGTATGGGTTCGAGTCACTTCTGAGGTGTGAGTTTTCAGTTTATATATATATATATATATATATATATATATATATTATATATATATATGTATATATATATATATATATATATATATATATATATATATATATACATATATACATACATATATATATATATATATATATATATATATATATATATATATATATATATATATATATATATATATATATATATATATATATATATGTGACCCACGATCTCAAAGAGGATATGCAGCACCCGGGGAGCCTTGCCGAGCTCTACACCTTCATGTATACTGTCAGCTTAAACCTTCATGTATACTGTCAGCTCTACACCTTCATGTATACTGTCATCTCTACACCTTCGTGTATACTGTCAGCTCTACACCTTCATGTATACTGTCAGCTCTACACCATGTATACTGTCAGCTCTACACCGTGTATACTGTCAGCTCTACACCTTCATGTATACTGTCAGCTCTACACCATGTCTACTGTCAGCTCTACACCTTCGTGTATACTGTCAGCTCTACACCTTCATGTATACTGTCAGCTCTACACCTTCATGTATACTGTCAGCTCTACACCTTCATGTATACTGTCAGCTCTACACCTTCATGTATACTGTCAGCTCTACACCTTCATGTATACTGTCAGCTCTACACCTTCATGTATACTGTCAGCTCTACACCTTCATGTATACTGTCAGCTCTACACCTTCATGTATACTGTCAGCTCTACACCTTCATGTATACTGTCAGCTCTACACCTTCATGTAAACTGTCAGCTCTACACCTTCATGTATACTGTCAGCTCTACACCTTCGTGTATACTGTCATCTCTACACCTTCATGTATACTGTCAGCTCTACACCTTCATGTATACTGTCAGCTCTACACCTTCATGTATACTGTCAGCTCTACACCTTCATGTATACTGTCAGCTCTACACCTTCATGTATACTGTCAGCTCTACACCTTCATGTATACTGTCAGCTCTACACCTTCATGTATACTGTCAGCTCTACACCTTCATGTATACTGTCAGCTCTACACTTTCATGTATACTGTCAGCTCTACACCTTCATGTATACTGTCAGCTCCACACTTTCATGTATACTGTCAGCTCTACACCATGTATACTGTCAGCTCTACACCGTGTATACTGTCAGCTCTACACCTTCATGTATACTATCAGCTCTACACCTTCATGTATACTGTCAGCTCTACACCTTCATGTATACTGTCAGCTCTACACCTTCATGTATACTGTCAGGGCTCTACACCTTCACGTATACTGTCAGGGCTCTACACCTTCACGTATACTGTCAGGGCTCTACACCTTCACGTATTTTGTCAGCTCTACACCTTCACGTATACTGTCAGCTCTACACCTTCATGTATACTGTCAGCTCTACACCTTCATGTATACTGTCAGCTCTACACCTTCATGTATACTGTCAGCTCTACACCTTCACGTATACTGTCAGCTCTACACCTTCACGTATACTGTCAGCTCTACACCTTCACGTATACTGTCAGAGCTCTACACTGAGGGAGACCATTGGCAGTGTTGCCACACTTACCGACTTGGGCGGAGAGAGTCGGGGAGGCAGCGCCGAGCAGCAGCGTCACCAACACACACAACTGGACCCTCATCTCCTGCCTCCTGAGGATAGAAATTGAAATTGAAATAAGTTTATTGATGTAAAATACACACGAAGGGATGAGGTAGCTCAAGCTATTCTCACCCCGTTCAGTACATCGTGTTAATGCATGCATATACACACATCACAAACAATAAACATATTAGCAAACATTCCGAGAAATAAACATCTACATTTCCTCCTTTACACAAGTAGTATGGTACCAGACGTACACGCAAATACTTTTATGACCGAGGAATACTGTATAGACAATTTGCAAGAGATATGCAGATAATTCATCAAAAAATTAGTCTTGTTGCAAAATTCTTATATCTCTCAAGAATATCATCAACCTTTCCGTTGTGACACATCCAGGCTATTTGTTCAGGAACAGTCCTTATCTCAGTGTTTCTATATACGTTAATCAACGGACAATCAAGAACATAATGGTGCTGAGGATAGGACGCCACGAGTGAACGTGCTGAGGATAGAACGCCACGAGTGAACGTGCTGAGGATAGAACGCCACGAGTGAACGTGCTGAGGATAGAACGCCACGAGTGAACGTGCTGAGGATAGAACGCCACGAGTGAACGTGCTGAGGATAGAACGCCACGAGTGAACGTGCTGAGGATAGAACGCCACGAGTGAACGTGCTGAGGATAGAACGCCACGAGTGAACATGCTGAGGATAGAACGCCACGAGTGAACGTGCTGAGGATAGAACGCCACGAGTGAACGTGCTGAGGATAGAACGCCACGAGTGAACGTGCTGAGGATAGAACGCCACGAGTGAACGTGCTGAGGATAGAACGCCACGAGTGAACGTGCTGAGGATAGAACGCCACGAGTGAACATGCTGAGGATAGAACGCCACGAGTGAACGTGCTGAGGATAGAACGCCACGAGTGAACGTGCTGAGGATAGAACGCCACGAGTGAACGTGCTGAGGATAGAACGCCACGAGTGAACGTGCTGAGGATAGAACGCCACGAGTGAACGTGCTGAGGATAGAACGCCACGAGTGAACGTGCTGAGGATAGAACGCAACGAGTGAACGTGCTGCCGTTATGACTGGGGAACCAACAACACATAAGCGATGACCTTGACCACATTTCCACAGCTGCTGAAGCCTAATTATTGCTCGACTTAACAATTTGCAGTCTCCGTGGTGTAGTGGTAAGACACTCGCCTGGCGCTCCGCGAGCGCTATGTCATGGGTTCGTATCCTGGCCGGGAAGGATTTACTGGGCGCAATTCCTTAACTGTAGCCTCTGTTTAACGCAACAGTAAAATGTGTACTTGGATGAAAAAACGATTCTTCGCGGCAGGGGATCGTATTCCAGGGACCGTAGGATTAAGGACTTGCCCGAAACGCTACGCGTACTAGTGGCTGTACAAGAATGTAACAACTCTTGTATATATCTAAAAAAAAAAAAAAAAAAAAAAAAAAAAAAAAAAAAAAAATTACTTCACTACACTTGCTAATTATAATTATATAATTCATTATATTAATAATAACAATACTCACTAAGAATTAGAAGTCCTGGAAAGAAGCAGCAGGTGGAGCCGAGAGGAACTGTCACGTTGCTGGGTGAAACTTTGAGAGGAATTAGTGAGCCATGAGCTGGCTCCTCCTGTATATATAATGCCTGGGCGGGAAGGTTGCCACCAGTCGCTAGATCCGCCACGTTAAATCAAATCAAATCACACCAAATGTTTATTCAGGTAAAAGATACATACATACAAGATGAGTTACAAACATAATGTTGGATTTCAAGATTTCAAGAGGTAGTACATACAATGCCTAAAGCCTCTAATACGCACAGCGTTTCGGGCAAGCGAAACATATTAATATATTTATATTTATAATAATAAATATTTATTAATATTATTTATTAAAATTTACATTTATTATTATACAAATACAAATAATCGCCAACAGAACCTAAACACCTAACCTAACCAAACCTATGCCTATGCACAATATGCTAATATATTATAATATTAATTTATTATTGAGAACACTTCCGTTCTGAATGAACATCATATAAAAATTTATGAATGCGTTGTGGGGTCGACCGCTGGATGTAATGGACTTGAGTCGAGGACGGGTTGTCAATCGTTAACCGTAGCCTCTGTTTACCCTAGCAGTGAATGGTTGTTAAACGATTTTGCGGGTCGTATTCTCTGGAAAATTAGTATTAAGGACCTGCCCGAAACGTTATGGGCAGGTCCTTATCTAGTGCCTAAACAAGAATGTAATAACTCTTGTATATATATACAAAAAACCTGTGTGGGTGTGTACATACGGCACTGTTAGTCTTCCATCTGGCCTCCAACCACAATGTTTTCCTATTCCTTGACGTCACGCAAAACAGTCGGGTTCGTGTTACTCTTCACTTTCCAAAAGCGAGGCGTTAGGATATTTGTACGTCGAGGGCTGCTGTCATGCTAGTTACCGCGGCCTCGAGACGTCTGCGAGTGAGAGTATGGTTCACTTCCTCCTTGTCGGGGATAAGAACCTGTCAGGATGTCCACGTAGCCAAAGGCGAGACTGTCCCCGAGGGTCAGATAACAATGCAAGTTAATAACAGCCAAATCGCACACTATTATAGTTACAGTTTAAACTATGTTTGTCTATGTCATACATACATACAAATATACATATGCGGAAAAACACATTTGTAGAGTTAGAGAATGATGAACGCGTTTTCGGCTCAATTGGCCTTCATCAGAGCAAGATAAAGTGGCTGAGCAAGCGAGAGATTGACTCTATCTTGTTCTGATGAAGGCGAATTGATCAGATAAGGCGTTCAGCATTCTCTAATTCTTAAAATGTGTTTTTTTTCCGCATACTTAAATCGGTGTTTTTGTGATCGTTGTTGCATATATATATATATATATATATATATATATATATATATATATATATATATATATATATATATATATATATATATATATATATATATATATATATATATATATATTAGTATATTTTGTAGCAGTCTTTCCTGTAGACATATTTTATTAAATATGACCGAAAAAGTAAGATTAATAATTCTAACACGAATTTTCTCAATCTTTCGTACATTATGCTTCACTGTTGGAGGTAAATCAAAAATCACTTCTCCAAAATTCATTTTTATTTCTAGTCTGACGCGACACGGGCGCGTTTCGTAAAACTTATTACATTTTCAAAGACTTCACAAATACACAACTGATTAGAACTTGCGTTTCCCTGATTTTATATCTACATTTGAGTGAGGTGGGAAGGGTGATGTGGCATTACATTTGAGTAAGGTGGGAAGGATGATGTGGCATTAGAGGATATTAATAGGGTATTAAAAGTATCAACACAAGACAGAACACGAAACAATGGATATTGAATAGAAGTGTTTGTAGAAAGCCTATTGGTCCATATTTCTTGATGCTTCTATATTGGAGCGGAGTCTTGAGGTGGGTAGAATATAGTTGTGTATATTCTACCCACAACTATATTCTACCCACCTCAAGACTCCGCTCCAATATAGAAGCATCAAGAAATATGGACCAATAGGCTTTCTACAAACACTTCTATTCAATATCCATTGTTTCGTGTTCTGTCTTGTGTTGATACTTTTAATATCATTCGCATATAGTCCTGGGGACCATTCAGGCTTGTTCGCATTTGTGTTCCTCACGTGTGCCCCAAAGAATGAGGTGATTTGGTGAAATGCTATGCCCAAGATTACCATCCGAGTTGCCGTCGGGGAAGTGGCTCAAATAGCCTCGGCTATCACTTCCTTTTGACGGCCGTGATGGTCAAGCGGATTAAGGCGCCCTGTAGTTACCAGTTGCGTTGCTTCTGGGAGTATGGGTTCGAGTCACTTCTGGGGTGTGAGTTTTCATTCGCATATAGTCCTGGGGACCATTCAGGCTTGTTCGCATTTGTGTTCCTCACGTGTGCCCCAAAGAATGAGGTGATTTGGTGAAATGCTATGCCCAAGATTACCATCCGAGTTGCCGTCGGGGAAGTGGCTCAAATAGCCTCGGCTATCACTTCCTTTTGACGGCCGTGATGGTCAAGCGGATTAAGGCGCCCTGTAGTTACCAGTTGCGTTGCTTCTGGGAGTATGGGTTCGAGTCACTTCTGGGGTGTGAGTTTTCATTCGCATATAGTCCTGGGGACCATTCAGGCTTGTTCGCATTTGTGTTCCTCACGTGTGCCCCAAAGAATGAGGTGATTTGGTGAAATGCTATGCCCAAGATTACCATCCGAGTTGCCATCGGGGAAGTGGCTCAAATAGCCTCGGCTATCACTTCCTTTTGACGGCCGTGATGGTCAAGCGGATTAAGGCGCCCTGTAGTTACCAGTTGCGTTGCTTCTGGGAGTATGGGTTCGAGTCACTTCTGGGGTGTGAGTTTTCATTCGCATATAGTCCTGGGGACCATTCAGGCTTGTTCGCATTTGTGTTCCTCACGTGTGCCCCAAAGAATGAGGTGATTTGGTGAAATGCTATGCCCAAGATTACCATCCGAGTTGCCGTCGGGGAAGTGGCTCAAATAGCCTCGGCTATCACTTCCTTTTGACGGCCGTGATGGTCAAGCGGATTAAGGCGCCCTGTAGTTACCAGTTGCGTTGCTTCTGGGAGTATGGGTTCGAGTCACTTCTGGGGTGTGAGTTTTCATTCATATATATATATATATATATATATATATATATATATATATATATATATATATATATATATATATATATATATATATATATATATATATATATATATATATATATATATATATATATATATATATATATATAGGTATATATATATATATATGTCGTACCTAGTAGCCAGAACTCACTTCTCAGCCTACTATGCAAGGCCCGATTTGCCTAATAAGCTAAGTTTTCATGAATTAATTGTTTTTCGACTATCTAACCTACCTAACCTAACCTAACCTAACTTTTTCGGCTACCTAACCCAACCTAACCTATAAAGATAGGTTAGGTTAGGTTAGGTAGGGTTGGTTAGGTTCGGTCATATATCTACGTTAATTTTAACTCCAATAAAAAAAATTGACCTCATACATAATGAAATGGGAAGCTCTATCATTTCATAAGAAAAAAATTAGAGAAAATATATTAATTCAGGAAAACTTGGCTTATTAGGCAAATCGGGCCTTGAATAGTAGGCTGAGAAGTGAGTTCTGGCTACTAGGTACGACATATATATATATATATATATATATATATATATATATATATATATATATATATATATATATATATATATATATATATATATATATATATATATATATATATATATATATATATATATATATATATATATATATATATATATATAGGGGTACCACCACTGGTTTAATTAAAGGGACCCACATCCTCGAAGAAGAAAATAAATAGTGTTCAGAGAAGACCTTGTGGATTCTCACTGAATACTTTAATCTTTTCCTCTCCTACCACCCCTATTATTTTTTTTTTTTTTTTATTTGATTTTATTGCAATGTTACAGTTTACAGAAAACACACACTTATATAACAATATAACAATATACCAATCTACCAATCAGTGTTCGAAGACCTCGTCCAGTTCCTCGGGGGTCGGGTGCGTACCCAAGATACAACACGCATTTCCCCTCTGAACAGCGACACTGAGGCGCTGGAACATAAAACTGGCCGCTCTTGGGTCTCTAGTCTTCCCAATGAGTTCCTCGCCCAGCTCCTTCAGGAACTTAAGTGCACATTTACCCCAGGCGCCCAGAGTCTCAGAGCCTATTGGCACGAACCTGTAACAACGTTCTGGGTCCCTGTACTTGTTAGTTTTCTGGGTCTCCCTGAAGGTGGCCGCCCCGCCTCCCTCAGCTGCGCTGTAAGGTAGATAGGTATCAGCCAATGTGGATGCACACGTGTAGTCCCACACGACCTGTTTACCTTCTCTCCACGGCTGCAGGGTGACTCCATCTGGGCGTTTTTGGCTGTTGTCAGGCCTGCACAACTGAGGTTCCCTTTGTGCTGGGCACCCAGCTGAAGCCAAACTTCTCTTGATGATGTCATTGACTGCTTCATGTCTGGCAATCTTTCCCTGTGTCTTACGACAGATGAGACCATGGCTGCCGTATTGGTCTGCCCGTGCATGGCCGCAAATACACCGGTGCTCGGTGGAGATAGGGGCGGCAAGGCGCAGAGCAACACCAATACTTAGGGTCCGATGGTCCAGGCGGGTCCCCAAGGCGGAATTAGGGACTGCCAACAGGAAGTCCCCGGCATGGGGAGCTTGCACAGCTAGAAGACGCGCTTTGTCCTTCCTGGAAGCTGCCTCCAGCAATGATGTGGCGATGTTCTCCACTATGGGGCTATCCCATTTGGACTGTTTGCAGTCATTTGGAAAAGTCGGTCGAGGATGAGAGTTGACAAGAGTGTCCCACTGACCGGCTCCTTCCGCGAATTTGGGATCATGAATCCCAATGAAGTCTCTTAGGTGTTCCGGTAGTATTTCCTTAACTAATTCACCTGTTGCACTGGTCGAGGATAAGAATGCCGGCAATGCTAACTGGGTCGCCTTGCGAATACCTATCCCCCCGAGTCTAACTGGGAG